CCCGTTCCCAGCCCCATTCCCAGCCCCGTTCCCAACCCCATTCCCAGTCCCGTTCCCAGCCCCACTCCCAGTCCCATTCCCAGTCCCGTTCACAGCCCCATTCCCAGTCCCGTTCCCAGCCCCACTCCCAGTCCCATTCCCAGTCCCGTCCCCAGCCCCATTCCCAGTCCCGTTCCCGGTCCTCCCCGCTCCTCCCGCCGCCGTCCCGGCGCTCCCCGCGCGGCCGCTCCTCTCCGCTCCGCGCCGCCGCCTCGCTGGTGCGGCCGGGGCGGGGCCGGGGCCGGGGCCGGGCGGAGCGGGAGGCCGAGGCCGCGGGGCGCCGGGGGAAGGGAGGTGAGCGTGGAGGGCTCTGGGTGGGGCAGGGGGACACTGACCCTGCTCCTCATCCTCACCCTCTGCCCCTGTGCCCTCCGCATCCCTGTCCGGGGCGGTCCGGGATGTGTGCGCGGCCGGAAGGGTGTGGGGGAGTGAACTGGGAGGGGACCGGGGTGAGTTTGGGGTGTGGGGGTGTCAGGGGGATCGGGGAGTTTGGGAAGGTTTGGGGATGTGATGGTGAGCAAGGGGATGTGTGTGCTGGGGCTGGCATCCCGTGACATGGATATAGGATTCGGGGGTTCCTTGGGATGCTTGAGGAGTAGAGGAGGAGGCGTGGGTTGGGTTGGGGTGAGCAGGGATAACGGGAGGGTTTGGGAGCTGCGGGATGGGGGTCAGGTTTTGGGGTGCTGGAGGGATGTGTGGAAGGCCCTGTCAGCACAAAGCAGAGCCCCGAGTGGGAGCATGGGTGTGATTGCTTTCAGGGTTTATTGAAGAGTGTGGGAAGGGCGTTCTTTTGGGGATTTTAGGATGCTCAGTGTAGGGGAGGAGAGGTGTGATGGGGTGTAGTTTTGTATAATGTGAGTGGAACAGGATGGATGTGGGATGGCTCTTTAGTTACATGGGCTCGTGAAGGGACAGGGATGAACTGCTGGGCTTGGGGAGGTGTCAGGATTCAGGGGAATGGAGTGGGGGAATATTTGGGAGCAGGTGAAGTGCCTGGTGTTTGTGAGAGATAAAGGTGGGGCAGAGTCTCAGAGCATCACAGAGTTGTTGCAGTGTGGCTTGGAGGATTGTTGGAACAGTGGGATTGATGTGGGAGCTGGATGCTGGGGTTTGTCCTTTATTTCTGATAATCCACAGGAGTGTGTGCAGACAGATTTGTGATGGTAAGGGTTTTCCACATGGTTCCCCTTGGGGATAAGAGTAAGCCTGGAGGATTTATAGGAGCCTAAAAGCTCTGGATGTGCGCAAATCCTGTGTTAAATTTTGAGATAGCAGCGTGTTTTCAAATTGCTTTTATTCACCTTTCAGTCTGGAGAGTGGGTCTGGGGGATCTGTAGCTGCTCAGCACTGCTGGGGGCTTGGAGGGAGATCAGCTGGGAAGGATCAGGTGGATACTGGTGCAGTCTTAGGAAATGAGAAATCTAACAGTGTTCTGGTTTTGTTTTCTTATATATCTGAGAAGAAGAAAAACTCCACTTTGTGATCCCTCAGGGATGTGATAAATCTCCCTCATTGAGCCACATCCTTGTTGGGTGAGACCCAAAGCAGCACTGGAGCTGCAGCTCAGGTTTTGTGTTTGATGAGTCAACCTGAATCTCTTTCATGTTCGTCCCACCTGAGATCCCTCTGGAGATCACCTGCCTGAGGAAGGATGCTTTAGTGCAATGGTTGTAATCATAAATCAAGTCATGTATCCAAAAACTTCACATTCCGCTTCAGGGCCATGGTAACATCTGCTAAAGCTTTTGGCTCTTCCTTCAACAGGAAGGTCAGAAGTGGAAAAACAGATGGGGTTGAAGCTGGACACCTCTAGAGAGCAGAGATATGTGTCTCTGAACAGGGAGAGACAGCAAAAACTTGAGAGAAATCCTGGTCACGTATTTTTTGGGAGCATTGTGCCATTCTTGGAAGGAAACCTGCTTTTGAGGGTGAGATAATTTCTGAAAGAACTAGGTTTTTGATAAAATCCCCCTTATGAACTCTGCACTGGTTTGCATTTGCTTTCACAGCCTTTTGAGCAGATTGTTTTCTAAGTCCAGGCAATAAAGCAGGAGTTTGTTGAGCATTTGGGGAAGCATGGCCTGGTGAGTTGAGTGTAATCTCCTTAGCCAGAGGAGCTTGCATAACACACAGTAAAGTGCAGGAGGTCTGATTGAGGCTGCCTTGATAATCCCTACACAGCCATTGGAGAATTGTCTGCTCCCTGGGATGTGAGGGAAGGGGGAATTGTGCTCCAGGTCACTTAGACACACTGAAGAATTGCTTATTTTGAGATTGGTGCTGTCAATGTGAGTCTTGCACTAGGCAGTTTCACTCAGAAGCATAGTTGGATGTACAGGTGCTTCAAGAAATGAAAAAAAGAACTTTACTTCCTTCAGTCATAAATCATAACTTGTTCTTCTGAGATAACTGCTTGAAATACTTCCCAGGGTTCTGCTTTGTGCCAGAACAAGTCTGATGCTGACATGATGTTATCAATTGTGAACTCTGCAAGATTTGAATCCAAAGCTTTGAGTTCATTGTCCAAGTTCAGAGCCAAGGTCAAAGAGCTGCCACGTACAGGCGGTTGCAGATCTTTGGGCTGCTGATGGCGTGTAAACAGAGAGACTGCAGGAGGAAAGGGCAGCCAGGGTGACACAGTGACAGCACTGAGCCACCTGCTTACGTGCACACCTTGATCAGCCCAGCAAGGTGGGGTGCTTTGTGCTTGGTCACAGGTGACGTGGCAAAACTGGCTTGCAAGTAGTTAAAATTCCAAGGGCAGTGCCATCGGTGGCTGTCACTTCCCAAAGCAACACAGCTCTGAATCATCTGATGGGAAAGTAGCAAGGGCTGTGCCAAAGGAAAACCCAAAGCCTCATTGGTAGGTGCATTTTCTGTGAAAAGAGTGTGGACTCGTTTAATTTGGAAGTTTTCCTGGTGGACACCTGATCTTTCTTTCCCAGACCAGAGGATCACTGTGATGGGCAGCTGATACTCAGTGACAGCGTTAGGCACTGCAGCAGGAAGGTTTGTATGTCTTGGAAAGTTGGAAAACTTCATATGTGCAGTTGGTAAACTGTAGGTGATGTTATCCTTGGTGATTAATGAAAAATAGAGGTATTTAAATTAAAACTTTTGCTGTTAGTGGCATAGGGAGCTGAATAATTTCGTGGGCTGGGTACGTTTTAGAAAATGATTTCTCAGCTTGGTGCTTTTTGATTGTCCTGATCATCTTCTGGCTGTTTTGGAGTTATTTTGGAACTAAACTTCATCAGCATTGCCAGCCCTTCACTCTAAAACTGCAATTCTGAGCAACTGTGCTTCGAAGCTGGCCGTGTTAAAGCTCATATTTCTGTTAAAGTTCATAATTTTTGGGTTTATTTCACTTTCACGTAAAAGTTTTCTGCACTGTTTTATCAATGGCTGCGAGCAAATTGAGGATTGATGGGATGTTTCAAACTGATTTATAATAATCATGATTATTGTTAAAATTCTTTTTGATGTATGTTGAAGTTGGTGAGCTTAGTTTGCTTTTACAACTTAAATGACAGCTGGAGGAGAACTGTGAGAGGGATTGTGGAAAAAAAATCACGTCTAATTCTTTAATCTCCATTTGAAAAGTTCAAGATAACACTTCTCAGGAGTTGTCTGATGTTCTGTAGTTTTAGTCTGCTTTTCTAAGGAAACAAGTTTTTTGCCATTGTGCTTTCTGCTAATTCCTCTGGTAATTATCCTCTGATAATTGCAGTTGCTTTAACGGGCTGGCACCTTGGACAGAGGGATGATTCCCACAATTTCTGTGGGAATGATTCCTTTGGGGTTTTAATGAGACCCTCTTAGTGCTGCCTATGGCAAGAACTCTGCTCTTATCAGACATCAGGAGAGTTTGTGGTGCCTGAATTAGAAAAGGTTTTGCTCTCTGGACTTCTCAGACAAGAAAAGCTTGTCCTGATGAGCCACATTTCAAAGACACTTGGAGCATCCTAATGAATTGTGTGATACAGGGCTGGTCAAAGCAGTTGTTCTCTCTATCAAAAGTTTGTGTTCACATAGTGCTTTTTTTCCCTTCCTTTTATTTCCCAGTGCTTTATTTATGTAGTTTGCCTGAAGCCAAATAAATAGCTTTTGTTTTCATTTTTTCCTTTTTTTAAATTCCTTTAGTTGTTTGTGATAATCCCTTGAAATTGCTGATGTAGAGCTGCTTTTTACTGATACAGCTTATGACTGGGGCATCATAAATATTTTGCATATCATTCCACAGCATCTTTGAATGAGTCTAGAAATGAATATTGGATAAGAAATATTGGATAAGAAAAGGAGTTGTTTGTTTTCCTTCAGGCAAAACACTTCCTAGGATATGTTTTCCCACTTCACAGGAGATCTGATGGTAAATATGCATGTAAATACAGATAATTAATTACGTTTTTAAACTAGTTTTTAATGAGTTCATTCTGATTCTCTTTCAGAGATGATATGAAGTGCTGTTAATCCTCTGACACCGTGCCCTGGATCCCCATGGTATGTCTGAAGGACACATCTCTGCATGTTCTGAAATATTCCAGGTGAAGCCCAAGAATAACTTTCCACAGGAGTTTGTGACCTCTTAAAGAGGAAGAAGTCAAGAGAGGGCAACTTTTATTCTATATTTAGCCCTAGGTGAGTCTGTAAAAAGAACCTGATAGGCTCTAGCCTAAAATTTATTTTTGGATTTGTGTGTTACACTAGAAAATAGAGAAGTGCCACGCTCAGGCAGATTTTTGGAGCTTCAGTGGGGCTTAGCAGCTTCCCCAAACACCTGTGAGAACTCCACTCAGCATCTCTGATGCTTTGGGCAAAGCAGGAGGGAAAAGAGGAATATTTTTCAGGTAGATAATTCCCCTATGAAATAATTCAAAATAATTCCCCTGCCTCACCTTTTCATCTGAGAGGCAAGAACTGGGCACGGCCACGAGCTTTGAGAACAGTTTGGTTGCCTTGCAATGGCAGAGGTGTCACCAGAGCTGCTGTTCAGTTCCAGTGGTGAATTGACTCTCATCCTGACACATCCCTGCCTGGAATTTTGGAATGAAATGACTTAAATCTTTCATTTCCAGCTTGTCCTCATGAATACTCCCATGGAGAAGGTGAATTGGCTCATCCTGACACATCCCAACATTCCTACCTGAAAATTCGGAGCGAACTGACTCAAACCTTTCATTTCCAGGTTGTCCTCATGAATACTCCCGTGGAGAATGTCCATGATCTTCTTTGCTTGTGTGGTGAGGGTGAGGGATGGGCTTCCCCTCTCAGCTTCCACAGATTTCCATCTCAACCAGGATTTTCTGGAATGCAGGAAGAGGTTGAAGGCGTTATCCTCGATCCTGGCGCGCTATCCCAGTCGGGGCACGGCGAAAGGACGTAACCTGAGCATTCAGTGAGTCCCTGCTCTGCTTTGATGGGCTTTTCTTGGCTTTAATTTTTGAAATAATGCTCTTGGGGATTGGTATTCTATTGAAATAATACTATGGGTATGGGCTGCAGTCCCTAATTCCAGTGTGAAATCCCACAGTGCTTGTCTAGGGTGTGAACTCCAGTGATTTTTGAAGCCTCATTCCTCAGCTCCTGCTCAGTGTAGTGAGCATGTGCCTAAACATATATTTGTGTATATTTATATATTCATATATTGTATTTTGTATGTTAATTTGTATAAATATGCTTACATAACTGTTATTTATTTTATACTATATTGTATTTATACAGATTTCATTTTACACTTATATTTATACATATACATTTACACACATACATTTATACACATATTTACATACACATAGACAATATTAATACATATTTAGTTATATATTTATACATACACAATTTTTATACCTATTTAGTTATGTGTTTATACGTATTTTTCTTATTAATATATATCTGGCTTATTTTAATTTTCATTTTGTGTAGCAAAAAGCCTCCTGCTCAATGTGCTTGTTACTCTTAGCAATTGGAGTAAGAAGGCATCCAATTACCTTGGAATAACTTAGTTGAGGAGAAGAAATTTATTAAAGAAATCACAGAGAAAGAAATGAAGAAATTTGTTTAAACTCATTTAAGAAGTGAGTTTTACCTTGTGATTGCATTTCTGGTGAGCAAATGGAAAAAAACTTTAAGTGACCCTAAGCTAAAACTAAGCATCCCTTTTTGGGGGAATTAAAAAATATATGAATTTACACTGAAACAGTTGGAAAAGCAGAGATTTTCATCTCAATTCCTTTTCACTCAAAGCAAACTTGTGCCCTTTGATGCCTGCTGCTTTTAATCTGCTGTGATCTGTGCAGCAGCTCAGCCCTGGCTCTGGAATGAGAGCAAGTGCAAATGGATCTGTGGCAAAAGGGCCATAAATTATGGACAACTTGGAAAAGGTGGTAGGACAGGCATGGTGTTGATCCCAGCTGAGAGCTGAGAGCAGCAGGAATTTGGGGAAGCTCCCCAGTGGAACTGGGCTGGCAGAGCCAAGCAAAACTGTAAATCCCAAATCCACAGTAGAGCAAATAAATGAAAATGCAGTGAAATAGAAGCCATGAGTGTGAAATGAAGTTGGGATAAAATATAGGAACAGTAGGAAGGAGACGAATTGTTCAGTTTCATAACTTGGGTGTTAAACTGATTTCCTGCTGACACATGGCTGGGCTGCAGGGGAAGATGTCCCTGAGAAATCTCCTGGAAGGTTTGCAAGTGGAAACTTTTACAGAAATATGGATTCAGTGTTAGAGGAGCCCCTTTTAGAGTAGAATTTTTATTGAAGTGTTTGAAATTCTTGGGTTGTGCAAATTAGCAAATATTTCTTGCTGTTAATGTGATGTTGCCATGTTCAAGGGAAGCAAGGAATCTCATCTACTTCCTGGGAACAAACTTCTTTGGTTTTACTTTTTTTCTGCATTTTCTTTCAAAATTGGTTTACTGACCACCTAGGTTTTTATTAATGTGTTTTAAAGCCAGCCTGGGAAAAGAATGTCCTCGATTTGTACTGATGTACCAATTTAATAAAGTCTGTGTTGTGCTCTTCACAGGGCTCAGGCATCCTGGATGAGTTAAGAATAAATAATTGTGTAAGAGAAAATAGATCTACAGGGATTGCAGGACTTTGACAACCACAAAAATCCCTTTCATTTTGCAGTCTGCTCTCTCAGCTCAGTCTGTACATTCTGTTCTGACAGAAAGCACAGCTTCATCCTCACGTTCAGCAGGGCTTCCACCTTTTTATGTTGATGTGATTTTTTTTTTTTAAATTTCTATTTCAGTTTCCTTTCTTCTGGGGATATTGCCTGCATGGCAATCTGTTCCAGCAGCTACTCAACCATCATGGCCTTCTGCTTCCTGGAAGAGCTTCGGTGGGAATTTGCTGCTTCCTACAACACAAGGAGCATCAATTCAGCTTCCAGACCATATGCTTTTATTGAATTTGGTTTGTAACTTTGTTCTCTAATAGGAAAAATCCTCTCTCTGCCAAATTGATGGTGTTAAACATCATCTCCTGGCCAAAGGCTGATGATAAAAGTGACTCTGGGTGTGCCTTTGCCTGCATGTAGAGGAGGAGGGGGAGATCTTAATGCCCTAAACTATTGGAGTATTTGGTTTGGAGTTCCTGAGAGTTCATCTATTATGAACAAAATGCTGTGGTGATTGATGAACGAGCAGAGAAGAAAAAAGAAATTGATACCTCAGATACTTTCTAACTTAATTTAAAAAAAATCTGATGAGTGGAGACAGATGAGTACAGGAAAAAAGGGAGACAGAATAGATTATCATGGGCAGCTTTATTTCTGGCATGACTTGGAATCAGAATACTTCAGAACCATGCCCAGTGGTTCTTTTTTAACCTAAAATAATTTCTTTTCTTGCCACATAGCAGCTGTTTTACTGAACCTCACACCTTTGAAAGACACAATTCCCTTGCAGTGAGAGTTTCTGGAAAAGGATAATATCCTGCAGTGTGTTTGCACACTTCAGTCCAGATTTCAGTAATAGTGTTAAACTGAGGCTTAAAAACTTGAGAAATCCATCAGGAAAGTTTCTTCTAGAGCCATCTTGGAGTTTAGTTGGATTCTCTGCAGGGCATATAACAGCCAGCATGTAATTTCATATTGAGATCCACATTACTCTTTTTTTTTTTTTTTTTTTTTAACTTGAGTAGGAGTTGGAGAATTTCTAGCCTCTTTAAATTGCATACAGCTTACTATTAAAAGAAAAAATAAATTTCTAAAATAATTTTTGTTGTTACATTTTATTAAGTTACTGACTGCCTAATATTGCTGTATGGTTTATTAATTTATTGATTTATTAATTTAATTATATTTCCTGTGTTTGGATCGAAGATGCACTCAATGCTCAAGATTTTAATATTTTGTTGGGTAGTTACAGATAATTTTTATTAATTTTTAGAGTAGTTATTAGAAGAAATTCTTTCCTGTGAGGGTGGGCAGGCCCTGGCACAGGTTCCCAGAGAAGCTGTGGCTGTCCCTGGATCCCTGAAGTGTCCAAGGTCAGGTTGGACATTGGGGCTTGGAGCAACCTGGGATAGTGGAAGGTGTTCCTGCCATGGCAGGGGTGGCACTTAAAGTCCCTTCCATCCCAAACCTTTGTATAAAATACCTACAAGAAGTAATTTTGTTCCCTAACCAGCAGTGGAATTTTATACTTGAACCCAGTAAGAAATGAACGAAAGAAATTAAAACAATCAAATAGGATAAAACATCACCACAATGAAGGTTTTAACAACACTAAGGATTAATGAAGAGGTGATTTGAGCAGCTTTTCCTTTTATTTCAGATAACATCATTCAGAAGGTGAAACATCATTTCAACAGCACCCGTGGCTCCCGGGCCAAGGGCAGCTGGGAGAGGGTGGAGGAGGAGCTGCAGCTGCAGCCCCCAGTGCAGCTGCAGCTGGAGAACACGGAGCTGCTGAACGGGCTGAGCAATGGAGGGCATGCAGGAGGCCGTGTGGAGGTTGGTAAGTGTGGAGAAACACATGGAGGGGGTGTTGGAAAATGTTCCATTTGAGACATTGTTCATCAAAAAAGTATCTGTGTTAGAAATCCTTCGTCCCGAGGAGAAAAGGGAATCTCTTTTTGTGGAGATGAAGCATGAGCAGAAAGAAAGAGAGATGAAAAAAATGTTTGGTTTGGAAGAGTTCATTCTTAAAAGTAAATACCCCATGAGTTTAACATGGCCCATAGGCACAGCTTTGGGAAAGCTGTGAAAATAGGAGAAGCCTCATGATTTGTAAGTTCTTTTCCCGGGTGGATGCAAATTATGAGAAGTAAAGCCACGAGATAATTTGGTTTTTTCCCTCCTTGTGGAGAAGTCCCTATGGCCTGACAAGAGGAAACTTCTCTCTCCAAAGTGAATTGAAAAGGACTATATAAGTTGAGAACTGATTGAAGTAGTTTTTTTGTATGTTTGTTTTGTTGTTATGAAAATTAGGAGAGGGGAGGAAAGAGTGGTCTGAAGATCTTATTCTGAATTTGCTTTTCTTTCTCATTCTTTATGTAGTTAAGAAAGTTTTTTATACCCTTTTAAGTTTTAAGCCTGCCTTGCTCTTTAGCTCCTAGTTCTAACTCACAACAGAAAATGAGTATATTTAAATTGGCAAATCAAAACTATAACAGTAAGTTACTTCTACACCAGGTGACAGGAGATTTCCTCACCCTGCACATGGCAGAGAAACACCTGGGGGTTCCTTGAGTACCTAGAAATGTTTGTTTGTATCATGTGTGTGAAACAAAAAAGGCTTTTTTCCATCATAGTGAACAACCTATGGGCTTTACATTGCAACAGAGCTTTGGAGATTGCTGTGGAGTCTTTTTCCAACCTTACATCTTCTCTGTATGGAAAATATAGGCTGGGCTTGATATTTTTCATGTGGAATTCTTTTCTCTTAAAATACTCATTTGTTCAAATTTCTAAAGAAGCTCCACTGATTCATTGCTTGTTGCAAACTTGTAATGAAAGAGCTGTAATTACAGTCTGAATGAGTTTCTTCAGCCTTGAGGGAAAAGAAGTTGAGAAAAGTACGAGCTGAGGGTAAAACTCGTGTTCCTGCATTGTCTGCCTTGAGCTGTTCTCCCTTTGCTTTTTCCTTTTTACCTTATTTTTTAAAAAACGAATCCATTTGACTAAAGTTCTGAAAGAGGCTTTGTGTATCTGTATAAATAACACAGAGGCTTGACAGGGACCTTTTTTATAACAATACCTGACGTTTTATCTGCTTTTGAAGTACCAACCTCTACTTCTTTATTATAAAAATGGTACCTCTTACTTGTGTTTCAGTTGCACAGTCAAGGTCCTGCCTACCTCCTCCACAAATTAAATCATAGAATAATTTAGGTTGGAGAAAACCTTTCAGATCATTGAGTCCAACCAGAAACCAAACCCTGCCAAGTCCACCACTAAACCATTCTCTATTTTAATCCTATTAGCATGGTGTTTTAAATGCAGCTGTGTGTGTGGGAGTGCCATGAGCTTGTATTTCTTTTTTTTTTTGTTGTTGTTCTTGGCATATGAAACACTAATAAAATTAAGTTCCAGTTGCTCAATCTTATTTTTGTGATAGATGAGCTGGAATCTCATTTGACATAGGTATTTTAAATTAGAGTATGGAAGGGCACTGGCCAGTAGGAATTAAAAATAGAATGGAAAGCACTTGATTTGCCAGTCAGATTTGTGAGTGCTCCTCAGAACTGTGCTTGAAGGTTAAATCTTTTCATGTTATGACAGGGCTTAGAAATTCTTTGCACTTTGAAAAAAAAAATTCTGAACAGCTTCAGTGCCAGTAAATATTTGTAATCTAGTTTGTGTCCACAGATCAGAAATAGATTTTCACTTCCCTCATTCCTGATTGTTTTCCTTTACTTTCCATCTGGCTTTTTATTTCTGGCTGTTCTCTCTGGTCTAACCCAAATACTCTCACAGATTGTTCTGCCTTTATTTTAAGGATCATGTTTATGATCATCTGTTTGCCTCCACTGGAATCAGCTTTCCTGGCTTGTGTCTCTCTCCTCTCATCATTCCCTCCCAGCTGAATCCCACTTTGCTGCTCTAAGTTTAGCTGTGTGCATAGTGTTTGTTCCATATTAATGTTATTTATACGGTGGCTCTGCCCTGCAAGGGGCTGTTTGAAATGCTGCAGGAGAGCAGAATTGAATTGTGGCTGCACTCCCTGGTGCAGATTGATCGATGCAGGGATGATCCAAACATCTCTCTGCTCACATGGCTGGAGCTGCTCCTGGCCTCACTGGAGCTGGGTGAGCTCATCCTCTGCCTCTTCAGTTCCGTGTGAAAAGGGCCAGAAAAGTCAGGGCAGCTTTGTCCTTGTTAGCATTCATGAGAACGAGAGATTTTCCCCTTCTTACTTCCATTCTTTCTGCTGCTTGTTCTTCCCTTTGTTAACTAAACCCAGCCTAACTCTTGCTACAAAAACCCTTCCCTTGTACCCTTGATCAACACCCACACAGCCCTGGCTGCTGCTCAGAGCTCCCTCCTGGCACTGTGGGCACAGCTGGTGCTGCTCCAGAGGGCACTGGGGCTGTGTGCAGGGCAGGGGGGGCTGGCACATCACAGCTGCCTCTGGGAAGCAGCAGAACAACTTGTGCCACTCGTCTTGTGAACGAGCTGGTGAATCCTGCAGCTCCCCCTGAGGAGTGTTCTTCATCTTCCACAGGCACACAGGGAGTCCTTCAGAGGCTTTTCAAGGAGGTGGTTTTGAAGCTGTCTCGCTCTCTGCCTTTTGTGTGCCTGTATTTTAGTTTAGGCTGTCGGGCTGTGATTTCATTTCTCACTCCTGGCACTCCTTCTGCAGAGCTTTGAGTGAGTGACTCCGTGTCCAGCCTTGTGCTGTGCCTGCAGTGCTGCACATTCTGGTGCCTCCCTCCCGTGAAATGGCCACAGGTCTCTGCCAGAAAAATCTTTTATGGGCAGAGGTTTCAATTTCTTCACTGTGTGAGGGTGTTTGCAGTTATTCTGTACATGTTCAAACCTGCTGCTGCATCACCCACAGCTCCCAGAACGTTTCTGTGTGGATCTTGTGCTCTGAAGTGCACAACTTCTGTGCTTCAAGAGTCAAATCAATGTGAAGCCTAATTAATGTTTATTTGTGCTTGTGCAGAGTTGTGCTGTCTTGGACTGAGTGTTTGTACTCTTCCCTTCCTTTATTTAATATAATAGGCCATTGCAGTATGAAACTCTCTTTATAAAAATATGACTGATTTCACCCAAGGAAGTGAAATGATTTTCCCTTAGCAGGATTCATCTCACTTCTCCGTGCAATTTCAGTTTGTGAGTTAAACCTCAGAATTTAACAGCAGAAATAAATTTCTGCAGCAAACCATTTCAAGACCAGTTTTCACAGAATCTGAACCCTGAGCAACTGGATGTTTTAATCTCCCCTGCATCTGTGACAGCAATTCTTTTTATCCTCTTGGACTAAAAAAAAATGTAACTTTTTACATAGTATTTCATGCTGCAGAAGCAATATATTGAGATCTACATTATTCTTCCCTAGGCACTGGGAACTTTTGGCACGTGTAGTTTGTAGGATCCTGCCCAATGAGTGACATTTGTGTTTGATAATTATAATTTGTTTGAGAGACATTTTATGCCTCTGAAGTAAATCTTAGAATTTGAGGAAGAGAAACAGTCTTTATTAGGAAATATCTGTGGGAGAGTTGTGCATATATATAGCTGCAACATTATTTAATTAATCAAAAGTGGGAAGTAGGAATAGCAGGAAAAAATAGAAGGAAACTGAATTCTGGGGTCAGTGAATGAATAAAGATGCTGCTACAAATTCTTTTGAAATGTCACTGTGTAGCAAAAGAAAAGCCAAATTACCTTTGAGTGACAGAGTTGCTCACACCATTCTGTCTGTAATATCCAGTAATGCTCCCTAAAGTGACATGTATCAAATGGAGTTGATACAGTTCCTTTTGCAGTTGCTTTGGAGCTGAAATTATGGATGTGTGAGCACATGCCAGACAAATTAATTACAGAGACATGGATGAAAGGTGCTTTACATCCCTATATTAATTTGGCACCAGAGTTTTTTACATCCGTCTATCAAAATCTGGCTTGAAGGAGAAGGCAGGAATGTTTTCCTCTCTGAAACCACGTGGTGGCTGTTGTGCTGTTTCATCTGTCACTCAAAAGGAAGCCAGAGGTGCAGTTTATCTGGAATAGTCAGGATCTGGATACACCTGCACACAGGGAGAAGATCCTGAGGGCTGGATGGTTTTCTTGAGGGTTTATTCATTCTCTCCTGTGTCTTGGGGACGTTGGTGCAGGAGAAGATCTGGATTTGGTATCTGAGCTGCAAATTATCATTTTTTATTAAACTGACAATGTCCTACTTGTGATGATCCAAAGGCAGGGATGAAATGTAGGTGAGGATGAAGGTGTAGAATCTGCTGATGAGCAAGTGAGGGAAAACTGGAGGTGGGCTCTTGGACAAGCCTGAATTAGAGGCAGCACATTCCAAAGCTAAGCACACATTTATGATAATTACTTTGACCTTAATTAGGGATGTATCAATGAGATTATCCTGCAGAGTTGCTGCTCAGCAGTGTGGGTGTTAAGTAGTAGCAGAGAAGGTGAGAAAGGAAGGAGGCAGATAATCCCCTACCTGGGAAATGTGGGCAGCCTGAGCCCTAAACTGCCAGTGGGAAGAAATACTTAATTACTGGTTAAGGAGGAGATGAATTGCTGCCTTGTTGTGATGGGTGACTGAAATCTAAGCCCTTCCCCAAATCCTTGGGTGGTGAAAGCCTCTGGCTTTTCTGCTGACCTGTGAGGAGTGCTGAGCATCCTCATCTGCTGGAATAAACAAAAAAATTATGTGCACCATAGTAGAAGACATTGATGCCAAATAGGTCAAGAAAAAGTCTGTTGCTGACCTGTTCAAAAATACTCCAGAGCTCTTGGTGATTTCTGGATGTGTGAAGAACTGAATACTGCAATACAACAAAAAAAAAGGGGTTTTCTGTTCATAATCAGTGTTCCCTAGAGCAGGCATGAAAAGTCTTGAAAGTGTTTAAAACCCATATAAGGTAATTGTGGTGTTTTCTATTAAAATATTGAAAATAATAGTGCAAACTCTCGCTGAGTCTGGTTTTCATTTCATTTTAAGCCCCTACTTACAGAATGCAGCCTGTGACCCCACTGGGGATTCTGTCACTCGTTCTGAACATCATGTGTGGAGCTCTGAACCTCATCCGAGGAGTTCACCTGGCAGAATATTCCTTCCAGGTAACCCTGATTGCACTCACACCTGAGAATGAGTGAAAGGCACAGAGTTTTGGGGTCACATGGGTATTTAAGGGTGGCTGTTCTGCCCCTTAGCTGAGCACACATCTTTCCACAAGAAGTGTTTTGTTTCTCCAGGGACTGTACAGTTGTTTGCTTACCTGCTGCACCTTTTGTATTTTACTGTACATCACAATATTCTGCATTTTATTCTGGTCTAGAGAAGTTTAAATTCTGAGAAATATTTTATTCATGCTAGGCTGCCTCGTTTTTTTTTTTTTCTCCATTTTTGTATTTTATTTTAGATCCTTTTCTGTAATTACTTTATATAAACATGAGACTGTAAACAACTTTTTAAAAAGGAAAAAAAAAAAGTGTCCTGATTGTATCCTGACACAGTTTTATTTAGTAGGAACTGTCACATAAGCCTCAGTTCTTGGTGTCTTATCCAGTGATATTGATCTTGGTGTTTAACACTGTTACAGTCAATCAACATAAACTGGGATAAGAGGTTCTTGACTATATTTATAATGTTCTCAAATATCAAGCAGCACTTGCTAAAAGCTGTGCCTGACGTAGTTGTCACTTCTTTTAATCCCAACAGGAGGACCATGAAGGAATTGGAAATGTGATAGCTTTTCTTCTACCTTTTCTAGCCTGTGTTTTTCAGGTATGTTAACTGCAAATAAAATTTTTTGCTGATTGTTTTGCTGTTACTCACAAGACAGAGCCATTTTTAGCTAAGCAGATTTATTTAATATCCTACCTAGATGATTCCACTGATTTATTCCAGTGAAGAGGCACAAAAACACTTCAAGGCACATTTTGACCCTTGGAAAATTGCATTTGCAGGCTTTGTCAGTGCTTCCATGTTCTGACAAGTCAGAGGGGTCTGGGTATGATGAATAAATGCCATCCCAAAAATGGTTTCATTCCAAAGGGATGGACACCACATCTTCCTGTCAGTGTCAGATTTAGTGATGAGCTTTTGGGAGCACAGCCACCTTGAGGACTGAGCAAATATTGCACAACAACGTTATTGAAAATGGTGTAATTTACATGAAAAATTACACTGAATCCTGGTGGTTCCTTAGATTTTTTTCCATAATGGGGTTATTTTCTCTGACCTTACACAGAAGAGTTTGAATGAGGAAAATACAACATGCTCCAAATTGGTTTTTCTTGAAAGGTTTCTTGAATTCCTAAAAAATTCCACAACCTTTAACTCGAGGGCAATATATGCTGGAAAATCTTCAGCTTCTAGCCTGGCATTGCAGAAAGGTGCTGCAATTTTGTTTCTAGGAATAACTGGTGCCTACAGTGTATCCATGGCCTTTGTTGCACTTGGATCATGGTTTGGGAACCACTGTCTGCAGACTGATGTATTTCTGGGATTATTTGTTGTATTATGATAAAATTTAGTATCTTTCAGCCTTCTTACACCTTTGCTCATGGCAGAGCTTTGAGGTGAATAGATTAATTTAGATCTAATATATTTATTTCAATCTAATACATGAATTTAGATCTATTAGATTAATTTCAATCAAATAGATTAATTTAGATTTAAATACTTGCTGCAAGTTGTTTTTCACAAAGAAAGGCTCAGTGCTGCTTCTTTCCATGTGAGTACCTGAAGCCAGGGAAGCTGAATAAAGGAGAGTTCTCTCTTCTCCTTTTGATTTATAGCAGTTTCTTCCCCAAATGCCTGTGCCCAACCTGCAGTGCTTTCCACATGCTGACCTCTGCCTGTGGCACCAGCACAGTTGGAAACTGTGACCTGAGGTGACAAAGGCTGATCTGTCACTGTCTGAGGGGTAAAAGTGACTCCTCTATCAGCACTGGGAGCTTTTCATTTTCTCCTCTGAGTGTTTTGCTCTTCACATGTTGAGTAGATGGTTCAAGCTGAGTAATTCCCAGCTGGATCCCTGGCTTTGTGCAGAGTTCAGTGCTAACCCTCCCTCTCTGCTCCTTTTGCAGTGTTACCTGTACCTCTTCTACAGCTCAGCCAGGAAGGTGAAGACATTTGTGCTCCTTTTCTGTGTCTGCTCATGCAACATCTACTTGTATGGATTAAGGAACCTCTGGCAAATCTCCTTCCACATAGGAGTGGCTTTTCTTTCCTCTTACCAGATCCTGACAAGGCAGCTCCTGGAGAAGCAGCCTGACTGTGGTGTATGAAAAAAAAAACTTGGGGTTTGCTACTCTGTTTTTACAATTCTTTTTTGTATTCACCCGGCCAAAAACAGCTCAGTGTGTTTTTTAACCATCCATGGCAATGGTTATGGCAAGGAGAACAGCTCCAAGCAACTTGGGACAAGGAGGATCCTGTAATTATGTCCAACACACAGCAAGGGGTGCAGCTGTATTTCACAAGGTGCATGGTAAAGCTTGTCAGGTGTCACCAACAGATGGCAGTTCTTACCATCAGCAGGCTTTTCCTCCTTGGCTGCCACCATCCAGACACCATTTTGCCATTTGTCTCACTGGCTCTGTGATAGTGTGGCAGGTCAGTCTTGCTGTGCTGCTGCAAATACTCAAATTTTGTAGTAAAACAAAGGTGGAATGGTGGGTGACATTTTTGCCTCTAGAATTTGTTAAGATTCTTGGTAAATGCAAGTAAAGGGGGTTGCTGTAATTAGGTGAGTGCAGTATCAGTGGGAAAAATGGTGAGGGTGAGCTTCAGGGTCATTTTTCTAGGTTTGGAAGGGCAGGAAAAGGCTGTCTATAAACCATAAAGTCTATAAATATCTCTTGGCTGAACAGCACATTGCAGTCATGTGTGTGCTCATGGGTTAATTGCAAATATGCTTGGGGCAGCAGAAAATAATCCAGGTAGGTGTGAGTGATCTGTCAGCACTTGTGGCCTTTGTTTCCTTGGCTAAGGTCACTTTTAGGATAAGGGCAATTCCATGTTTCCTTAGTCTGTATGGATAATAAATCTTCCAAGCCTGTTTATGACAGGCCACTAACTCCTTCACCTGTTTTTTTTTTTTTTAAATTAGTAGCTGGTGAGTAGAAAGCCATTTCCAGGAATGGAAAGCAAGAGCAGGTTCTCTTTGTTCTATAAAACACCTGTGGTTAATGGTGGGGAGTTCTTACACTGAGATGAGTTTCTGAGTGTGCACTTTGGAGTAAGGGACTGCAGGGCTGGAATTCCCAACCTCTGCTGCACTGGGAGTTCTGCTCTGTCATGGATCAAGGTGCACAGGGGCATTTTAGGGCATAGGTGAATAATTTAGGCTGGCTGTTAAAAAAAATGCATAGCAGTTTGATGCAGCTATCCTTGAGGGGTTGTAAAGATTCAAACTGAGATGTAGAGAACTGTAGGTATGTTATTGTGGAATTACAGTCCTAACATTTCCTTTTACTATTTTTTTTCCCTTTCTGGTCATCCCCAAGTCTTTCACCAAAGATTTATTTTTCCTCTCACGTAGCCTCTACCTCTGGTTGCAAAGAGATTAACATGCAGCAGAGTTGTCTTTTTTGCAGGAACACTTGACAAAATTCCTTTCTTTTATCTCAGTGAGTTTTCCTGGAATCTCAGAATGCAAACACGAGGATCAGACCAGAAATTTATGTTGCTGTACCTTGTGAAAGCACTTCTGGATGCAGCTGTCTGCAGCAACAGCATCCATGGGCAGCCCATTAGAACCTGGACAGTTTCTAGGACATCAGGAGATTTAGTGCCTGAGCTTTTCCCAGAAGGAAAATGGAGGGATTTCTTTTTCACTGCACTTACTGTAACAGCAACGTGATAAAAACCTGCAAACTGTGAGGAATAGTCTGGTAGGAATGATGGAGGAATATTTTAGCCAGGCATTTAAGGACACAGCTCGAGCTGTGTGCCATAAGGGAAAGGTTTTCTGTTATAAGGGAGTGGATTAAAGCTGTTTGTCTGTCATTATCCCAGTTTTCTGTCAGAGTGCAAGTGGAGAAATGAAGCCACAATTCAGCCACTGTCTTTGAGACACCAAGATGACCCCACAGATGTGAGGAGTTTTGTACTGTTAATTTTCCTGCTATTCAGTCCCAGTTTTGCTTGGTAAGATACTTCTGGAAACTGCAGGGAACTCAGCCACTCAGTTAAAAAAAAATCAGAAAAGAACACTCCAAAAATCTGACACTTTAAGGATAGTGGATCTGATGACTTGGTGGTGTTTTCCAGGAACTTAAATTGGATATCAACCCACTGGATTCCTGTGGGGAAAGGATGAAGTATTTTATACTACAGACAGACAAAACTTCATGGAAAGGACTTTAGGACAGGAGCCAACTCCCTGCTCCTGCCTTTTTATCCTCACTCTGGCTGAGGAGTCCAAAAGAGCTTTTCCTGTTTCTCCTGGGCTTGGCTAAAGCCAGCCCTGCTCTGGCCTAAGGCACACAGAGCATTGACAGCTGGGCATTCCTCAGCCTTGTAGGCTGCTGATGGGAAAAATGTCACATTCCTGATGCTTCCAAATTCTCTGTCCTGAAACAGATCCATCCCTGAGCCAGGGGATGGCAGCTCTGCAAGGGAGTGCTAGAATGGGTGTTTGGATAATTGTGCAATTAACAGAGAGTGGAGAAGGGTTAAATTCAGCTTTTATTGAATTGGTTTTCCTAAAAACATTTCAATAAAATCAAACCAAATCAATTGGTTCAGTTCTGCCTTTTACATCTTTTCTACCCAGTGACAAAACTCTGTCTTGGTGTTGGTCTTAATCCCTTTGCAACCTTTTATTTTCCTGTAATATGTGTAAACCATATTAAGGAATCTACATGGATTAGTCTGTGTGCACTTCAGAGGTTTGGGTTGGGATTCCAGGACGAGGCAGAGCACACAGACTTGGACCTATTTTTATTTTTAATTTGGTATTTATCCCATATCCACACAGTATTTATACAGTTAAACATTTTCTCCTGGCAAAACAGCAAGAGGAATAGAATAGTTTACATTGATCTCAGTGCTTTAAGATTTAATAAAAATGAATGACTTGCAGTTTAAAATACAAAATCTGACTCATAATGTGGGATTTTTCCCGTGTTGAATCAAATCCCCAAAGAGGAATCCATCTCTTTTTGTTCAACTTTAAACTGGCTAATGTGGTTTGAATTGCATCTTCTTCATTCTGTCACTTTGCAAGATAAGTCTTTTGGAAAACTCTTTTCCTCACCCAGCAGCTCAGCACATGCAAACTGACAAAGAATAAACTTCAATCATTTCCAGATTTGCAGTGCTTAGTCACTTTATGAAGCTGGTAATTCTCTGGGTTTTTTGTTTTGTTTTGTTTTTTTTTCCCAAAGACCTGTTGAGTTTGTAGAAGGTGGGCTGGTACCTTTTTAGACATTTTTGCACTGTATTAATAATTGAACCTGTGTAAATGTGTATAAAATCATTTTGCATGTATATGTATATATGTACATATATCTAATAAATGGCTTTTTTTTGTAATGATAGTTTTCATTCATTTCATTCATTTGCAATTTATTGATTATATGAGAAACAAGGTTGATCAATCATTTCATTTTTGCAGACACCTTCAGTGATGCCTGTGGCCAATTCATCAGCTCATCTATTTAAACATATTTATAAACACATGTATAGAAAATTTCGTTATACAAGGGGATTGCAGGATTGTGATGGAATCTCTTTGGGGCTTTAACAAGCTTGCTCTTTATTTTCAGGGACTCTTGGATGCTTTTCCTGCAAAACTTGTGTGTTGAAGTGGTGAAATGAGATGTAATACATCCCAAAAGTGCCTTTGCAGCTGCCTGGCAGGGAGCAGTGGGGATGGGGCAGTTTGAAGGTGGATTTTTAGCCTTAATGAAAGCAGGCTTGTTAATTAGTCTGTCCCTATTAAGAGCTTGTGGACTTTTCTGGGAAATTTCGGCCACCTTTGGTAATGGCTCTGAAGATACCAATTCATTAGCTTTAAAGCACTGAAAGGCTTCATGTGACAGAAAATTGAGCTTTCCCATCACTGCAACGGGTTCATGTGTGGAAGAGATGTTTTGTGTGACAGGACTCAGAGGATTCTGCTGAATTAGGAACCAGAAAATAAAGCAAAAATCAAAGAGCTGGAAGAAATCAGGCTTGTGGAACTACTGGTAAACATTTTTCTGCTCCCTGCTTCTCCACAGGATATCTAATGGCTTCAAACTGACAGAGGGCAGGGTGAGATTAAATATTAAAAAAATTCCTCACTCTGAGGATGGTGAGGCCCTGGCACAGGGTGCCCAGAGAAGCTGTGGCTGCCCCTGGGTCCCTGAAAATGCCCAAGGCCAGGCTGGACAGGGCTTGGAGCAGCCTGGGACACTGGAAGGTGTCCCTGCCCATGACAAGGATGGCTCTGGATGGGCTTTAAGGTCCCTTCCAACCCAAACCACTCTGGGATTCTGTGGCAAAAGCAAAACGATGCTCAGGGAGAAGCCCCTGGAGTGAGGAGAGAGGCAGAGCAGGGGGTTGTGCAGGCAGTGGATTGGAATCAGCAGAAGGTGATGGCTGGGGAGGGAGGAGAGAGCCTCGTTCTTCTGAGCTGCTCTGCCCTTTGAAATCCAGATGTTATTTTTGTTCTGTAAATAAATGATTGCTCAAAGCATGTTTCTCCACAGGATGCCAATAGAGGGGAACAGCAGCCTCTCCCTTTCTTCTGTGGTGAGGGGAGAAAGCAATTATAACTCCCTTTCTCTTTTGAAGATGCTGATAAAAGGAGGTGGGAGGATCAGAGAGGGTCCCTGTGCCAGAAGAGAAACAACTCCTAAGGTGATAGAAATACATGTTTTTATTTTAAACAAAGCAACTCCACTTCTGCTGACTTTCAAAGGTGACCCAGTTGCATGGAAAAAACTGTTTGTGAAGGGGGGGGAAGGAAACCATGGCCACAAAAGCAGGAGCAGGCAGGAGATGGGGACAGATGAAGTGTCCCTCTCAAGGGGTCATGGCTTTAAAAGCCCTGGGCCACTTGTCCTAAGCTCAGGACAGGGCTTGGAGCAACCTGGGATAGTGGAAGGAGTCCCAGACCCTGGCAGGGGATGGAATGAGAACATCTTTAAGGTCCCTTCCAATTCAAACCATTCTGGGATTCCCTTGGGCCATTTTTTTCCAGCCCTTGGAAGAATCCTTTACAAAGTAATTAAATGGCAACGCCAAACAAAGAGTCCTAAAAAGTCTTTGCCTCCTTTTCCTATGCCTTTAAAATTCCCTTTGGTGGAATAAATGTCTTATGATGTAAGAAAGATAAGGAAGGCTTGAAATAATGACCACGAAAAGGTAAAGCTGTCAGTATAACATGGAAGGCTGAGATTGATCCTTTCATTATGCAGGGGAAGACATTAACATCCCAAATCCTTTATTTCGTGAGATCTTGTAGGGAAATTATGGACAAATGAGGCAGAAAGTTCAGCCCTGAAATGCTTCAGTGCCCACCAGAGGGCAAAGCAAACCTGAGGCTTTCTCCAGGGAGCTGCCACCTCCTCCAGCTGTGATTGCTTTGGGTGGGAGCAAAGGGCACACATTTGGCCTGGCTGGCCCCAAAATTTTCCTATTTAGCTGCTGGATGAGGTCAAAAACCCAACCAAGCTGCAGTGGAGGTGCTGAACAAACCCGTGCAGGTTCCATCAGGCTTGCAGCAGCTGAGCCCCCTGTGTCTGGTGGGGTTCAAGGTGCCCTGAGTGCTGCTCAGAGGATGTGACACAACAACCACGGCTGCTGAGGTGACAGGGACTGGGCAGTGGCAATCTGGAAATCCTTAACCCTGGATTAGGTGTGACCCAGGTTTATGGACAAGTGGTTACCTCTGCCAGGTAAGGGACAGGACCTGAGGAAACAGCCTCAGGTTGTGCCAGGTTCTCCCTCAGCCAGGGGAAGGTTAGAGTCGGTTTTAGGAGAGATTTTTTTTGCTGAAAGGATGGTCAGGCACTGGAATTGGGGAGTTGGAATTGCCCAGGGAAGTGGTGGTTGAGAAACACTCAGGTGATGCAGAGCAGGACCCTCTGGTCCTGGAGGCATCTCTGAGCTGGCAGCTGGGTTTTGCATCGGATTCAGAAACCAAAATTGCCCCGATGAGTCACAATCACAGAATCAACGAGGCTGAAAAAGCCCTTTAAGAACTGAATCCAACATCATCAATTCCACCCCTAAATCCTGTCCCAAAGTGCCACACCCACACCTTTTTTGAACACTTCCAGGGACAGCGTCCTGTGCTGGTGGCACTGAAGCTTCTGCTTTGTGTCTGGCCCATATTTAAGTAAAAAGTCTTTTTTCTCCTCTTTGAAGCTTCTTGCTGGTTTGTTCTGTGGCTGCTGGGGCTGGAGGGGGCAGGTGGGGAGCAGCAGCACTTTGTGCTTAATTCACTAAACCCAGCAGGGTTCCCCCCATTCCCAGGGCTCCTTGGCTGTTCCCTGAGCTCACACAGGATCTCCTGATCCCCCCCAAACATGAGCAGGTACACAGCACTTCCCTGGAGGTGCTCAAGGCCAGGTTGGATGTGCTTTCAAGCAGCCTGGGCTAGTGGAAGGTGTCCCTGCCTTGGAACTTGGTGATCATGAAGGTTTTCCCCAAGCCAAACCATCCTCAGATTCTGTGATTCCATGATAGCAAGGAATACTTTGATTTAAAATTTTAAAATATTGAAACAATCTTCTTCTGGAGCTTTCTGCTTCTCCCTTTTCCAGGCACTGGGAGGCACCAGTGCACAAGGTTGGGAAGGAAGCTGACTTGGGGAACCTGCCAAATTTTGTACCTGCTGCTCGAACAAATGCTACACTTTCCCCAGCTGATTTTGCTGTAGGATTCCTGAAATGGAGATCAAACACCCTGGAGATTTTAGGAGGGCTGCAAACTCGCTTACCTGGCAGGGCTTGAACCAGTTTGTCAGGAGCAAGAAGTCACTGCAACTTTTATTTTTTTGGTTTTGTTTGTCTTTGAGGAACAAAGCCTGGCTCTTTGTGCTCCTGGTCTGAGCCCTGGGGTTTTCTTCTGAGCCTGAGGGGTTCAGGAAGGGACTGGAGAGTTTCTGATAGAGACACATATCCACACATTCCTGGTCCTTAATCCATCTGCACAAACTGCCTGCAAAGTTAAGTTTTGGAAAGGGATTTGAGGCAAAGCCTTGTTTCCAAAACTGCTGGAAAAAGGGCAAGGGGTGATGCTGCCCTTGCAATCTATGCCTCGGCAAGAGGAGGTGGCACAGAGTGCCAAGAACAGGGAAGCAGGATGGATTTTTCCCAGCTTAATCCCACAGTAAATTTGCTGCTGTTGAGGAGTGAAGGGGAGCTGCCTGGGGAGGAGAGTCCTGTTTGCATCTACCAGAAGTTGCCTACTTCTGGTATTACCTGTGCTCGGGGAAAAAAAATTCCCAGCCACAATCTTAGGGGTTTTTTTCAGCAATTTCTTTCCCTGTAGTGTCGGGGGGTTTTTTTTGTTGTTTTGGTTTGTTTTGATTTGGTTTTGGTTTGTTTTTGGTTTGGTTTGTTTTTTGTTTGTTTTTAAATTTCTCCCTGTGCTGACCACTTCTCCAATGGCAAAGAGCGAAGCACTGATAGGACACCTCCAATCCTGGGGTCAGTTCTGGGCCCCTCAATTCAGGATGGACATTGAGGGGCTGGAGCGAGTCCAGGGAAGGGAACAGAGCTGGGGAAGGCTCTGGAGCCCCAGGAGAGGCTGAGGGAGCTGGGAAGGGACTCAGCCTGGAGAAAAGGAGGCTCAGGGGGGACCCTGTGGCTCTGCACAACTCCTGACAGGAGGGGACAACCCCAGGTCGGGCTCTGCCACCAGGGAACAGGGACAGGAGGAGAGAGAACAGCCTCGATTAGCACCAGGGGAGGCTTAGACTGGATATTGGAGAACTATTGGAATTCAGAAACCTGGGAGTTTTGAACTTTCTGTGCTTTCTGGCACTGACCCCCTGGAGAACACTGCTTTTGACCTGAGGCCTTGGAGAAGGCTTCCAAATTTTAGTCAAAAAGTTAAAGTCATGAGTGTGTAGTTAAATAGAAATGTGTGATTTCACATGGTGAAGGGTTTGGAATTTGGGGTTTTTAGAATATAGTAATAGGTATGGGACAAGATGGAGGATTTTGGATGGTGTCTCTTTCTGTGTTCCTCTTCCTTCTTCATGATTTCAGGCAGTAGTTTCTGGTTGGACAGGTAGTGCTGCACTGAGGGTCACAGGAGTTTGGTTATAAAGTATCAATAATATAGGTGTTAATTCTTTATTGCACTGTTTAGCTTTAAAAGACCTTGCAACCAGCTCGATTCATCTCCATTTTGCTCACTTTTAGCTGGTAGCTGGAAGTGTTACAAAACTCCATGTACTTTAAATAATATTTAATAAATAACCAAGTCCAAACACGAGAAATTAATCTCCTTCATATTTTTAATCCTGACACTGAGTGAAGACAAAAGAAAACGAAGAAAAGCCATTGATTAGGTGGTGCACTAACCCATTACAG